GATATCTGAAAACACGGGTTCCTGCAGCAGCAAGTATCTGGATTACCTGGATCATCTGGATTACACTGGCACCATTTATTCTTGATCTTTTGCCAAGCTCTTTCCAAAAGGGGAAGTAACACAAACTTTACAAATGGCGCCAATAACAGGATTTCGCCGACTGGAAAACAGACCATTATTATTAGCTTGTCAGCATTGTTTACGCCACTTGCTAAACAAAACCCATGTCCTATTCCAACATTTTGTCCAAGTTGGAAATTACTAAGGGCGGCCAGAAACTCAATGACGGGTCGTATTTAAAACCCTCTGGAGTGAGTATCTTCATGATTTGATACGAGTATAAACAGGCATTTAGATGTCCACTTGCCAGGTTTGGACTGAATGACAAAACAAGACAATTCCCTATAAGCAGGACTACCACAATTGTTGGCCATATCCACTTCGGATCAGTGCAGCTGGATGAGCAGTTTTCGCTTCCAAACAACACAGTATAGCCTGGTTTGCACTGCCCACAAAGGACGCTCGTCTGGTTTCTGTCATCTTTGCACACTTCTCCAGAAATGTACTGATACTCGTCAGGAAAACATGGGCTTTTTAAAGTTACAGTAGTCAGCGGGGCAGAGATGTGTAACGAATTCGTCTTTAACTTTGCCGGCCCAGTAGCCCTTCTTAAGGTAAATAGTCTTTCCGTCCGACCCACACCGTTCCACTCCGTCGGCCACTCCGTCGGCCCACTCTGTCGTCTGCCAGAGTCCATACAAACACATCTTGACCCGTCAGAAACAAACCCTGGATGACAATTCTGCAACGAAATGTTTGTGATTGTACCCACTAACAACTGTCTCCCCACATAGCGTAGACTTACTGAAAAAAAACTGCCAGGTTTTCCAGTCAACCTGAGATAGGATATCTGCCCGTCAGTGGTAAGAAACAAGGAAGATGGAGTGTCCAGCTTAACTGGAGTTTTCAGGAAAGATGATGTTAACATCGATGATTCCATTGACGGAGTTGCCGATCTCGTCAATTAACTTGACTGTTGCATTGAAGAGTTCAACTGGTGCAACCTCCCAGTCGATTTTTTCATAAAATATGTCTATCGCATCAGTTGCTACTTCATTCTCTCGCGTGGTAACGTTCCCATCTAAGGTCTTGAATTGGATGAAATTCCAGCGTAGGACCGTGTTGTTTCGTCGAGACTCACCAGGTCGCCGACAGTTCGTTAGAGTCGTGGCGTAGACTGAATTTCCTTTGGCATCATCGATTGCTCTGTTGCCTTGGAAGATCACAGAGGTCTTCCAGTCCTTAAAGTCAATTTTGTCATCCTCGTACCCGAAGAAACACTCGTGTGTGTCAACACCAGTTGCATTGAAGACCACCAGTGGAGATCCGGCAGCGAGGATGAACAGTGCTCCTCCTTTGCTCTCACACGAGTTGCCTTTAAAGAGTAACTTAGAATTCTTCTGAAAAATCATTCGCGATTGCCCACGCATCGCTACGGCTCCTCCACGGTATCCCGTATTGTTAATGAATTCCACGTGATCGCATATCTCAATAGTTGACCCATCTAAGGACAACGCCGTGCCTGTGTTGCTGATGAATGAAGTTTTTCTTCGAAATATGAGGGGTACTTGGTCACTGTATATCGCACCTTCGCCTATCATGGTAACCTTTGTCTGACTTAATAACTTGGTTCCTTAAAAATGAGCAGTCTTTGAAGCTCATTGAGAATGGCATTTTCGGTCCAATTTGGACTTCATTTTGATTATCAAGCATAGTTGCTAATCCGGCTCCCACTGTTCCTTTGTTGTCAGACCAAGTGCAATTGTTAAAGGTGAACTGTGTAATGTGCTTTATATCGCAGTTCATCTTGCACAGTATCGATGTTCCATACAGCGACATACCACCACCCCAGAATGCCGAGTTGTTTACAAATGAGCAGTTGTTATCAAATGTAAATGTATTAAGGGGGTAGTCTGCACCCGTTCAGGTATGTTGCCCACGCGAACTCCTCCTCCACCTAGAATTCCAGTATTGTCGTAAAATGAAGTATTCTTTATTGTAAAATGATTATTTGTAACTTCATCTCTTGTTTCGACTTGAAGACCTCCTCCCCAGAACGCTTGATTACCAACGAACACACAAGACTCGATTTCAGTTTTACAGTTACTGGCATTTCTCGAAAGTTAACTGCCAATCCTCCTCCTAGACTAAATTGGGTAGGACCCGGATTGCCAATATGATCGTACGTACTACTTGCATTCGATCCAAACGCTTCATTTCTGAGAAAATAGCAATTTCTGAAGACGTAGGTGTTGTTGTGTTGGAATGAGTCATGTTGACTTCGCGTGACATTGACTACGTTGTCACCGTACTTGTTGAGAATCATATAAATGCCTCCTCCCGAATACACATAGCCTTCTTCGATAAGCCCTTGTAGCGACCCATTTAAACTCTTGTTGTCGGCCTTGTTGTCCGCCAACATACAATCCGTGAAGTTCACAACGCCTCCAACATCAAATAAATTCACGCCAAGCCCTGGAGATGACGATATCTCGATATTCGTGAATCGCGTATTTCGACAATAACGAAAATCCAACGCAGTCTTAAACTTAACACCCTGATGTTTCTGTCCAGCGTGAGCAGACTTGTTAATTCCTACAGTACTCTCTCGCCATCCGCCGCATCTAAGCAATGTGAGTCCTTCGAGAGCAATATTTTGGCAAAGAATAAACGACAGACTTACGTCTGGCTCACAAGTTATTCTTACCTCGTCTGATCTTGAGCCCTGTCCAACCAGAGCAAAGCTATCCACGTTGGTAATATTGAAGCTTTTTACCAACGTATAATTCCCTTTGGCTGCTGATATCAGTGTCGAGTTGGCACTTGCGCCTCCATCGAAAGCGATAGTGAAAGCTGTATCGAGTGACTTGCATGGATTGGCCAAATGTCCACAGCTCTGTGAATCATTGCCACTTGGCGAGACGTAAATTGTCGAATATATATTCCATGCAGCTTCTAATGGCAGGTAAAGCAAAGAAAGGAACAGGATTGAACGCAATATGCGAGAACGCATCATCTCCATACAGTTACAAAATGAACAACTCGCGGTTTCTTATAGTGTCTAGACGTAGACAGCTCCGCGTTCCGGGGGGAGTGCCAAATAGTATGCTTGGGTGGGAAGGTGCTGCTGAGGCCCTCAGACCCTTTCAGATTCCCGACAT